TTGCCCCCCCCCAAACCCATTGGCTCCAGCACTGCTGTACTTGTTTCGCTGTCTCGGAGTCACTCATGAACGCTAACTACTTAATATTCTCTACCGACCTCAGGGGCACTCAACGAGTCTGCGCATGACACCCTTCCTCTAGAGCATAAGACCTCAATTTTAGTCAGGAGCGTATTCATCTTGACTTCGTCGTATGCAGTATATCAATGAATCAAGTGAATGCTGCAGGTTAGTAAGCAAGGAATCTAGCATGAAAAAGTCATCTGCGAATAGCAGTGACTCGATCGAACATTAGGACTGTGAAAGCCACCGCGCCCAGGGTGCGCCTGCTGATTCAGCCTATAAACATTATCAATACGAAACGCGACGATAGAAAATTTCCTATCTCATTTAAGAATCCAATTTGGCAAGTGAGGTGCTGATTATCGTATATGGCTCAATTCCAGCGATCTTTGTTGAATACCGCCGTAACACTGTTGTGAAATCGTAACTATTCCCCCACAGCTTTGCAAACTGTTAATTCAAGAAACTGCAGTTTTTCTGCATCCGCCTCTGACTATCTGCGCTGCTTTGTGCCAGCCAACTGTGTTAATAACGCCTATTACCTAAAGCGCGTATATTCTCAAACGACAGCGAAATTGTCCATGTCGCCAAAAAATATGACAGTATAAATTTATAACGCTTGACCAACTAACGTGAAACTGGTAGTTGCAACCTTTGTCTATTATGACAGCTACTTGAGACATCCAAAATAATTTTTGCAAAATTCAAAGTAAATCATTCACTTGATAATAGATCCGAACCGGACAGCTCTTCTCTGACCTAAACAAGTGGAACTGACTCGTTTAAAAATCATAAATCGACTGGTTACCTCGTCCGCCAACAGGGTCCAGTCTAGTAACCTGCATAAGTCAAAAAGATCCGCTTGAGACGACCCTCCGTCAGACATCGATCAGCTTCTCTTCCCTGACTAATAAATTTCCGCGACTATGCAATAGTACTTCAATCCTCTTGATGTTCTATCGGTGCAGCGTCAGCAACAACGATCATTCGTTTTGTCCACAGGCATCTTTGTAAAAAATAAAGATATTCTAAATGTAACTAAGTTGGAAAAGTCCTTGTTTTGTTTGCTGCAAAGAACAATCACCACTCAGAATTTACAGATATAGTACTGAATCACAGTCAGCATTATACATACTTTGAACTCACTCACCGTCTCTGGGACAGACTTTCAGTTTTCGTTCAGCATTACTTTATTCAATTGTCACCTCGATCTAAGATTGCTGAATGGTTTTCGTGCTAAAAAGTCAAAAATGGCTCACTTAGGGACTAGTGGAACTCTGGACGGCTGAAAGTCAAAAAGCTTTCTACTGAAAACCGGGAGAATGTGCGTTTGTAAAATGTGGGAAAGCAAGGCAAGAATCTTATTGTCTTAAATCCTGAATTGCAACAGAAAAGAATGACTGAGGCAATAGTGGTCGTGACAAACGCTCGCAACACGAATGCAAATTGCCATGACATTCAACCAGCATTAGAAGTTTAAGCTCAGGCTACCTGATTTGCCTATTTTGTCCTTTATCTAAATCTCAAGCGATTCCTAAACCTATCAAAATCTCCATTCTTGAGTTCACGCAGTGTAAAATTGGCTAACTAGGAAACGATAATAGCAGGAGAACACGCAGCAAGGCAAAGCTTAATTGAATACAATCACCTA